CGATCCCCTGACTCCCTGGGGGTGGGGGGGGCCATCTCTGGGGGAGAGGCAGAGGCAGACAGACAGCCGGGTGCAGCTGAGCATGGGACAGGGCCCAGGAGCGGGGGTCAGGGGGCCAGGACAGCCTCTGGAGCAGGCGACCCCTGAGCTGGGCATTGATGGGAGATGGGAAGTAGCCAGAAACGAAAGTAGGAGCAGTGTTCCTGGCAGAGGGAACAGCAAGCACAGAGGCTAAGAGGCAGGGGTGCATTTGCTGTGTTTGGGGAACGGCTAGAACAGGAAGGAGACGGGGAAGGACGGGGAAGAGGAGGGAGGAGGCCACACCAGGCTGATGAGCTTTGGAGGGCAGGGACTGTCTTAACATGGGATGGGCCACTGCGGTCGGTCGTCTTGGTCTGCGGCAGGCTGTGGAGTGGAAGAATAATGGAGACTCTGGGAGGGACCGGGAACTGTGGGTAGGAACAGTCCTTCCAGAGCCTGGTGTCCAGGTGGGGGAAGAGGAGGCTGGGGCGGTGGACAGGAGAGGACGTCAAGGGACAGAGGCCTGGCTCGGGGACAGCCAGTGTCTGCCTGATGCCCTGGGAGCCGTCCTCCACAGGTGGACGAACAATCACAGCAACAGAAGCCAGCACTGCCGCCTCCGCCTTCCCAGCAGCGCCGAAGCGGTGGCCGTCCCTCTCCCTTCAGGGCTAGCTTCAGACCAGGGGCCCGGTCCCTCCAGGACAGACTCCACACTGGGACAGGGGTCAATTGAACGCAATGGGAACTGTGCCTTCACAGGCAGGTCCGCAGCCCGGCCTCAGATGCTGCCTCTGCCAGACGGTTCCAGTCACCCCCTCCTAGGGCTGCCATCCCACTCCTTCCCCAAACGGGGCCCTCGCCATCCCGTTTCACAGGCTGCTGGGGGGCAAAAGGCGACAGCACCCCCAAAGCACCACGGAGCCCAGGAAACACCCGGTAACCTCACACGCCGAGCACACGGGCTGGAAGACATGTGTAGGGTTTGGAAGGCGGCCTGTGAAAAAGTGTGTCAAACACCTTCGTCAGTTTCCATCCTGATGACATGTTTGCAGTCATAATATTTGGGATCTAGTGGGCTAAAGAAAGAGATGACTAGCCCTGGCTGCTGTGGCTCAGTGGATTGAGTGCTGGCCTGCGAACCAAAGGGTTGCCGGTTGGATTCCCAGTCAGGGGACACGCCTGGGTTGTGGGCCAGGTCCCCGTTGGGGGTAAATGAGAGGCAAGCACACATTGATGTTTGTCTCCCTCCCTTCCCCTCTCTCTAAAAATAACTAAATAAAATCTTTTAAAAAATTAAATAGATGATTAGAATTGCTTCCACCTGGTTTGGGTTTTCTTTTAATGTGGCTTTCAGGAAGTTTGAAATTGAGTGAGTCGTGCACGGCTAACGGACCCATCAGCAAGATGAAAAGGAAACCCCCTGTATGAGGGAACCTATTTGCCAATGATACATCTGATAAAGGTTTGAGTTCCAAAATATACAACGAACTAACACAACGCAACTCCAGGGAGGCAAACAATCTAATTAACAAATGGGCGAAGGACCTGAATACACATTTCTCCAAAGAGGATGTACAGATGGCCTCCAGAAGGCATGAGAAAAGATGCTCAGCATCACTAGTCATCAGAGGGATGCAAATTAAAACCACAATGAGGTACCACCTCACACCTGTTGGAATGGCCGCCATCAATAAATCAACAAACATGTGCTAGTGAGGTTGTGGAGAAAAGGGAACCCTCATGCACTGCTGGTGGGAATGCAGACTGGTGCGGCCACTGTGGAAAACAGTATGAAGTTTCCTCAAAAGCAAAAGGTCACCGGTTCAATTTCCGGTCAGGACATATGCCTAGGTTTTGGGCCAGGTCCCTGGTTTGGGGCATATAAGAGGCAACCAATAGACTGTCTCTCACACATCAACGCTTCTCTCCCCTCTCTTTTTCTTCCTTCCCCTCTCTCTAAAAATAAATAAATAAACCCTTTTTAGAAAGTTAAAATGGAACTGCCATTTGACCCAGCAATCCCACTTCTGGGAATATAGCCTAAGAATTCCGAAACACCAATCAGAAAGAATATATGCATGCCTGTGTTCACAGCTGCGCTATTTGCAATAGCCGAGGTTTGGAAACAGCCCCAGTGCCCACCAGTGGATGAGTGCATAGAAAAGCAGTGGTACATTTACACAGTGGAATACTACGCAGCAGTGAAAAAAGAGGAAATCCTACCTTTTCAGACAGCATGGATGGACCTGGAGGGAATTATGCTCAGTGAAATAAGCCAGTTAGTGAAAGACAAAGACCACATGATCTCACAGGAATCTAATGAACACAATAAATGAATAAAAAAAAAAACAGAAACAGAAGCATGGACACATGGAGCAGACGGACAGCAGCCAGAGGAGGAGGGGCGACCAGATGAAAGGTGGTGAAGGGACCAACTAAAGAACATGATTTGTGACCCATGGACATGGACAAGGACGGAGGGGTTGGCTGAGGGAGTGGAGGGTGGGACTGGGTGGAGGTGGGAAGAAGTGTGGGAACCACTGTAATACCATAACAATTTTTAAATTAAATTAAATTTTAAAAAAATTCATCGACTGATCCACGTCACGTTTCCGCTGGGTCTCACTGGCATAAATAGTGCCTGCTACTGTCTCATGGCTGCAATCGTCCCAGACATGGTCATCCCTCGATGCTGGGTGCCTCTCAGGTACGGTCTTGTTTTTTTAAACTTTTTAAAAAGTGTTTTGCTACCTATTATGAAAGTACTTTTTGCCCACTGATGAAAAAAATAATGAAAATGCCCTGGCTCGTGTATCTCAGTGGATTGAGCATGGGCTGCAAACCAAAGGGTCACGGGTTCGATTCCTAGTCTGGGCACATGCCTGGGTTGCGGGCCAGATCTCCAGTGGGGGGCGCGTGAGAAGCAACCACACACTGATGTTTCTCTCCCTCTTTCTCCCTCCCTTCCGCTCTCTCTAAGAATAAATAAATAAAGTCGTAGGAAAAGAGAGAATAAAAATTACCCTTAATCCCCAACAGCTGGAGTTCACTCTGAGCAGAGCACAGACTACTTCCTGCCAGGCTTCCCGGTGCACATGCACAGATACCTGTACTTCAGCCTCCTTTCTAAGTTTTACAACGTCGTCCCCGCTGCACAGTGTGCTCTGGGGAGCTCTCCGCTTCCACCTTTTCAAAAAATTATAGTATCTTCTCTTGCCTTACTTTTTATTCTATTGATTTTAGAGAGTCAGGGAGAAAGAGAGGGAGAGAAACATCAATGTGTGGTTGCCTCTCAAGCACCTCCTACTGGGGACTTGGCCCACAACCCAGGCATGTGCTCTGACTGGGAATTGAACCGGCAACCTTCCAGTTCACAGTTCGACACTCAATTCACTGAGCCACAGCAGCCAGGATGATTGCTTGATTGTAATATGTCCCCTTACCGGGGATGGAACCCACAACCTTGGTGTATCAGGACAACACTCTAACCAACTGAGCTACCTGGACTTCTGTGTCTCAGCTGGGTGACCAGTGAAGAAAATCTGGTGAGATTCTGCCTCTTGGGCCTATCCCAGTGTCAACTCTGAGAGGTGGAGGCCACGTTCAGGGGTTAAGAGCCAGGATTCAGGAGCCTGACAGCCTCAGTCCAATCCCAGGTTGGCTGCCCCTTCCTGTGTGACCTTGGGCAAGTCACTGCCCTTCTCTGTGCCTCTGTGTCCTCCCACTTAAATGGGGATTACTCATAATTGTCCATATGAAACCCTCAGGGCCAGATGTGTTTTTTAATAGCACCCCAGTGGATCTTATTATAGCCCTTACCAAACGTGGGAACATTTCTGGAGAGGAAGGTTTGAATAGTCACATGAGGGGGATCGATGAAAGGCTTAAATAGCCTACATGAGTTCTGGTCAGGTTTTGCCACGGAACGGGATGTGGTGCCAAAGTCATTATGAAACATCCTCTGGTTTTCTGAGCTCATGGCTTCGAGCTGCAGGTGTTGGAGAAGTATACCGATCCCGCAGGGCGGCTTGGCGCATTAAATCAGCTGGTGCCGGTGGAGCCTTTAGAACAGGATTTGGCACTGAACACGTGCCCAACTCGTGTTGGCTGCTGATTAATCTTTTTATTGAGGTTTAATTTACATATAAAACACCCCCGTTTTTGTATACAGCTTGGGGGGTTTGGATAGTTGCGTTCATGCATGGAGGTACTGCCCCAATTTGAAACATTTCTATCATCCCGGGAAGCTCCCTCGTGCCCCTTCCCAGCTTGTCGCCCCCACAAGCGCTCACAGACACCGCTTAGCACCTCCATAGAGCGAAGTGAATGGGATCTGACCGCGCGCGCCCGTGCATTTGCCTTCTCGCCCTCAACGCGCTGCCCCTGAGATTCATCCGCGGTATCAGGCCTGTAGGCAGTCTGTTTCTTTACGAGCTGAACCGCAGTGTCCCACCGTAGGGACGCAGAGAGCCTGTGCTGCCCCCATCAGGGACAATTGGGCGACTTCCGGTTTAGGCTGCAAGGAACACAGAGGCTGTGAGCGCCCACCCCAAGCAGTTGGATGGGCCTCTCCCATTTCTCTGGGCAAGAATATCAAAAGTGTAAAGGCTGGGTCGCTGAGTAGCTCTGACTAAAAGAAACAGGCCCAGCGGGATAGCTCAGTTGATTAGAGCATCCTCCTGATACGCCAAGGTTGTGGGTTTGATCTCAGCTCAGGGCACAAACAAAAATCAACCAGTGAATGCATCAATTAGTGGAAGAACAAGTCAATGTTTCTCTGTCTCTCTTCCCTTTTCTCTCTCTCTCTGAAAACCAATTTAAAAAAAAGAAACAAACAAATCGTTTTTCCAAAATGGTCTTACGGCCATACTCTTCCATCCGCAGAGATGGAGAGCTCTCCACTCCACCCTGTGGGAACTGGGTGCTCGTTATCACTGTTACGAGTGTCACTGATGAGTGTCTCTCCTCCCCCACCCCAGGTGATCCGAACGGACACCTTCAAGCACCTGCGGCACCTGGAGATCCTGCAGCTGAGCAAGAACCTGGTGCGCAAGATCGAGGTGGGCGCCTTCAACGGGCTGCCCAGCCTGAACACACTGGAGCTGTTCGACAACCGGCTGACGACGGTGCCCACACAGGCCTTCGAATACCTGTCCAAGCTGCGGGAGCTCTGGCTGCGCAACAACCCCATAGAGAGCATCCCCTCCTACGCCTTCAACCGCGTGCCCTCGCTGCGGCGCCTGGACCTGGGCGAGCTCAAGCGGCTGGAGTACATCTCGGAGGCGGCCTTTGAGGGCCTGGTGAACCTGCGCTACCTCAACCTGGGCATGTGCAACCTCAAGGACATCCCCAACCTGACGGCCCTGGTGCGCCTGGAGGAGCTGGAGCTGTCGGGCAACCGGCTGGACCTGATCCGCCCGGGCTCCTTCCAGGGCCTCACCAGCCTGCGCAAACTGTGGCTCATGCACGCCCAGGTGGCCACCATCGAGCGCAACGCCTTCGACGACCTCAAGTCGCTGGAGGAGCTCAACCTGTCCCACAACAACCTGATGTCGCTGCCCCATGACCTCTTCACGCCCCTGCACCGCCTCGAGCGCGTGCACCTCAACCACAACCCCTGGCACTGCAACTGTGACGTGCTCTGGCTCAGCTGGTGGCTTAAGGAAACGGTGCCCAGCAACACGACGTGCTGTGCGCGCTGCCACGCGCCCGCTGGCCTCAAGGGGCGCTACATCGGCGAGCTGGACCAGTCGCACTTCACCTGCTACGCGCCGGTCATCGTGGAACCGCCCACGGACCTCAACGTCACCGAGGGCATGGCCGCCGAGCTCAAGTGCCGCACAGGCACCTCCATGACCTCGGTCAACTGGCTGACGCCCAATGGCACCCTCATGACGCACGGCTCCTACCGCGTGCGCATCTCCGTGCTGCACGACGGGACGCTCAACTTCACCAACGTCACGGTGCAGGACACGGGCCAGTACACGTGCATGGTGACGAACTCGGCCGGCAACACCACCGCCTCGGCCACGCTCAACGTCTCGGCCGTGGACCCCGTGGCGGCCGGCGGTGCTGCGAGTGGCGGAGGTGGCCCCGGGGGTGGCGGCGGCGGCGGAGGGGGCAGCGGCGGCTACACCTACTTCACCACGGTGACCGTGGAGACCCTGGAGACGCAGCCCGGAGAGGAGGTTCTGCAGACGCGGGGGACGGAGAAGGAGCCCCCAGGGCCCACGACGGACGGCGTCTGGGGTGGGGGCCGGCCCGGGGATGCCGCCGGCCCAGCCTCGTCGTCCACCACGGCGCCCGCCCCGCGCTCCTCGCGGCCCACGGAGAAGGCGTTCACGGTGCCCATCACGGACGTGACGGAGAACGCCCTCAAGGACCTGGACGACGTCATGAAGACCACCAAGATCATCATCGGCTGCTTCGTGGCCATCACGTTCATGGCTGCCGTGATGCTCGTGGCCTTCTACAAGCTGCGCAAGCAGCACCAGCTCCACAAACACCACGGGCCCACGCGCACCGTGGAGATCATCAACGTGGAAGACGAGCTGCCCGCCGCGTCGGCCGTGTCCGTGGCCGCCGCCGCCGCTGTGGCTGGCGGGGGCGGCGTCGGCGGGGACAGCCACCTGGCCCTGCCCGCCCTGGAGCGCGACCACCTCAACCACCACCACTACGTGGCGGCTGCCTTCAAGGCGCACTACAGCAGCAACCCCGGCGGCGGGGGCTGCGGGGGCAAGGGCCCGCCGGGCCTCAACTCCATCCACGAACCTCTGCTCTTCAAGAGCGGCTCCAAGGAGAACGTGCAAGAGACGCAGATCTGACACCACCACCGCTGGGCGGGGGACTGGGCTCGGCCAGATTGGCGCCCTCCCCGCATCCCCAGGCCCCTCTGACGTCCGGGGAAGGTCGGGGAAGATGGGATCCGAGCCTGTCTGGACCCCAGGGCGGCTGGCCCAGCCACCTACAACAGGGTGGGGCCCCAGGCGCAAAGGGCCCTGGCTCCGGCCTCGCCCCCATCCCCGGTGACCAAGGGGATGCAGGATTCGGAAGGGTCCAGAACCAGTCCCCCCACTGTTCCCAGCTTTCCCTCCTGGCTCTCCCCAGCCACTGACCGACCCACTGCCCCAGCCCTCCACCTTCTAGGGGAGAGAGGAGGTTTTTTTGAGGGGCATCCTCTCCCCTCACCCCCAACAGCCCTCCTTTTACAGTTCATTTTTTTGCAGTTGGAAGCCTGTCCCCCCACCCCCACCCATCCACCCTCTCAACTGACGAGACAGACGCGTGGTTGTCAGCGCCTCCAGACCCCCTGGCCCTGCCCCTGCCCGAGCCCACTCCGACCCCTGGGCCCCTTGGCTGGGGGTGGGGCAGCCCCCGCAGCCCCACCACTGCCCGAGCCCCCACTTGCCCCACAGACTCTTTTGATACTGAAGGGAGGTTTGCGTCAATGACTACCTGCTCTGTAATTACTTTAAAAAAAAACACGGAAAAAGTAAAAAAATATTTTTTTTGGTCATGAAAGCATGGGAGAGAGAGAAAAGGAAGTGAATGTGGAGCAAAATGAGAGGCTGTTGTAGGCCCTGCGGGGGCATTGAGACCCCTCACCCTTGACCTTGGAGGCCCTGAGGTAGCTCAGTCACCCAGCACTGGTCCTGGGTTCCCCCTGCAGCCCCACTGAGGCAGGTCCCGAGGGCCTCTCCCCACCCCCACTCCTCAGCAGAAACGGTGGGGCCCATATTAGTGTCCTGGGGCTACTGTGGCGGTCACCAACACTGGGCGGCCCAGGACAGCGGGGCCTGTGGTGTCCCCAGGTCAGCATCCAGGAGTCCCAGATTGGGGGCGGGGGGTGGGGCTGGCAGGGCCTGACGCCCTCTGGAACCTGTAGGGGAGGAGCCTTCCAACTTCTCCCTGCTTCTCGTCACCCACACATCCCTTGGCTGGTGGCAGCTCTACCCAAACCTCCCCCTGGCGTTCTCCCTGCGTGTCCACAACGTCTTCCCTCTCGGCATGCCTGTCTCTGTGTCCCAAGCTCCCCTTTTTTATAAAGACACGGAGGCCCTTAGATGAGGGCCCTTCCTGCTGCAACATCATTTCACCTGGACTGTATCCAAATGAGGTCACGTCCCCAGGTCCTGGTAGGGACATCACCATGTCCTGTTGGGGACAGAGTTCAGCCCCTTCCAGAGCCAGACCAGGGTGCATCCGTGTCCACTGCAAACCCATTCGAGACACTGCCCAGGGTGCACTGACAGGGAGGGGCTGGAGGAGTGGCAGGTGCGTCTAGCGGCAGGTGCGTCTAGTGGCAGGTGCAGCAGCATAGGAGGGAGCTGCACTTTGTCTCATAAACGCAGAGGCAGGAGAGACGGGGTCCAGGCCTGGGCAAAGGGTGGGTACTATGCTGTCGCCCAGGGCAGAGAGCTGGCCCACCAGAGGGACGGGAGCCAGCCAATGGGACAAAACCCAGGGGGCAGCTGCTGGTGGGGCCGGGGGAGGCCAAGGTGCTGGCGTTTCAGCCTCCAGAGGGCTGGGCCTGAAAAGCAGAGACTGATGGAGGCAGCGGGACCGCTCAGCATGAGGCTGGACCATGGACACGCAGGGCCGGGCCAGCGAGCAGGCCAGGCCTTAGCCCCATTTCTCCCCTCACCTTGGCCCACCCTGGCCCCCCACACAGCAGCTGGGGGTGTCGCAGGGGACACCCAGGCCCCGTGGAGTTAAGGACAGAGGTGAGGGTCCCCGGAAAGCCCTGAGGTCCCCACCCCACAGCATCTTCTCTCTCCCCCACCTGTGGCTCTTAGAGCAAATTCTTCCCTCATCCGCAGGGCCAGCCGCTGCCACCATGGCTGGGGTCTCAGGCCTTATCTATCTGCTCTGCTGCCTGTCAGCTTGGGGCTCCCCCTCGCTCCCTCTTTCATGCTCTCTTTCTCCCTCATCCTCTTTCAGAGCCATCCTGGTTGCCATGGCAACACTGCAGCGGGTACCAGGTGGCAGCTGGGGGCAGGGAGCCGGCACTGCCGCAGCCTCCTCCATTTCCGATGCCAGGCACCCATGAGGCGCGCTGGCTGGGGCTCATTTTGGGGGGCACTCAGCCTCCTCCGGCCTCCCAGGCTTCTCCGTGGGGTGGGGCGAGGGGAGGGACAGTCTGGGGGTGAGAACGCAACCCGGGGAGGGGCACCGGTGGCATGGTGGCCGGGAAGAGGAAGATGAAAGGTGGGAAGTCAAGGTGAACCAAGGGAGGTCCCGGACAGGTGCTGTGGGGAGCCGAACTCCAGCTCCCACACGGCCTTGTGGGGAGACTGGGCGTGACCTGGCCAGGTCTTCTCTGGGCTTCGCCTGGTGGGGAGAACATGAGGGCCTGGCCCGGGTCGGGGCAGAATGGCAGCAAGCCCAGCAGAGACGGGGGCAGGGGGTGGAAGGCTGGAGCAGGAGACAGACCAGAGATCGACACTGAGACCCAAAGGGAGGAATGTTGGCAAGAAATACGGTGCCAAGGCCGGGGGAGTGGCTGAAAGGGTGGGGATTAAAAACGCAGGAGCGGGGGACCCAGAGTCCCTGTCACCATCTCCTCTCCCTGCTCCCAGCCCTCAACCCCCACCCCAAGCAGGATGCAGTTACCATGACAACCTGGCCGGCCAGAAAGGAGGGCGGGGGACTGCAGAGGAAATTTTCCACATCAGCAGGGAGGGAGGAGGGTGTGATGCACAGAAGGAACTGGCCCATACAGTGGGGGCCATGCAGGAACCCTGGGACCCCAAAACATCATGTTCACCACCCCCAGGATTCTCACCCTGCCCCCACCCAGCAAACTGGCCCCCGCACCTCTGGGCCACTGTGGGAAAGGGGGAAGGCTTGAGAGAGGCTCAAGGGTCAAATGTCCAAAGATCAGCAGCTGCCCAGGCCTCGTGTGTTCGGGGGGTGGGCAGCCAGCAGCTGACAGAGCTCAGAGCCAGACCGCAGACCACCAGATTCAAGGACATGGCCCTGGACAGGGTCCCGCAGAGGGTGGGGGTGGTGGGCTACGGCCGCCTCGGTGAGTCCCTGACTGTCTGGGGCCTCTTCCCCAGGTCCCTTCCTGAAGTCCCCAAAGGCCCTGTGTCCGCCACAAACACACCTCTCGTCTGTGTCCCTATCTGCCGCCCTGGCTGGCTGTGTCTGCCCACCGCACGGGGCTCCTTCCCCCTCTCTAGGTCTCTGTCCTTCCCTCTGGGTCTTTGTCCCCTTCTCTCTGGATCTCTGTCCCTTCCCCTCTGAGTCACTCTCCCTCTCCCCAGGACAGTCCCTGGTGTCCCACCTGCTGACTCAGGGACCGGAACTGGGTCTAGAACTTGTTTTTGTCTGGAATCGTGACCCAGGACGAATGGCAGGGACCGTGCCCCAGTCCCTGCAGCTCCAGAACCTCGATACCCTTGGGGAGAGGTCAGTGGCCTTGCCGTGGGAGAGCAGGGCTCCCTGACTGAAGCTCCTGCTCTGGCCTCCCTTGGTGGCTGTGTGATCTTGGGCAAGCCCCTTACCCTCTCTGGGCCTTAGTTCCCCCAAATGTGAAATGGGACAAGCCCATCCATCCCATTTCCCCTCCCAGGCCAGGGTGGAGGGTGATAGGCCTCCACAAACTGTGGAAATCTGGGGAGGAGAGGCCTAATACCTCTCCCAGGCCCTCCCCATCTCTCCCCTCTGCCAGGCACCCTGACCTTGTGGTAGAAGTGGCCCATCCCAAAATAATCCACGAATCTGGAGCACAGATTCTGCGCCATGCCAATCTCCTGGTGAGCCCTGCCCCTTCCTCCTTGGCCCCACCCCACTCCAAAGTGGGATTGGTCCCCTGACCTCTGCCCCTCCCACCTTCACCCACCCCAGGTGGGGTCCCCCTCAGCCCTGGCCAACCAGGCCACAGAGCAGCAGCTCCTGGAAGCCTCGAACCGCTGGGACCACGCCGTGTTCGTGGCCCGGGGGGCCCTGTGGGGCACTGAGGACATCAGCAGATTGGACTCAGCAGGGGGCCTCCAGGTGAGTGCCTGCTAGGCTTCCTGGGAACCAGAGGGGCCCTGTGGAAGCCCCGGTCCCCCTGACCCTGGCTCTCACTTCCAGAGCCTCCGTGTCACTATGGCCACACATCCAGATGGCTTCCGGCTGGAGGGACCCCTGGCTGCGGCGCACCACACTGGGCCTCGCACTGTGCTCTATGAAGGTCCTGTCCGTGGGCTCTGCCCCTTTGCCCCCCGCAACTCCAACACCATGGCAGCAGCTGCCCTGGCCGCCCCCAGCCTGGGCTTCGACCGCGTGATTGGGGTGCTTGTGGCCGATCTCAGGTGAGCAAAGCTGAGCCGAGGGTTGGGCCGGGGGCCAAGCCAGCCAGACTGACCACCCTGCTTGGCCCAGCCTCACAGACATGCATGTGGTGGATGTGGAGGTGAGCGGACCCCCAGGCCCCACCGGACGAAGCTTTGCTGTGCACACCCACAGAGAGAACCCCGCCGAGCCAGGCGCGGTCACCGGCTCTGCCACTGTCACTGCCTTCTGGCGCAGCCTACTGAGTACGACCGGGCCCCTCCCAGGTCCCCACGCCACGGGCTCTGTGCTCTGCAGTTTGGATATCCGGCTCTGGTTCTGCAGTTCTGACTTTGTCTCTGTCGGTTTAACTTTCTGAATCTCCTTAACCCTCTACGCCATGACTTTGAATCTTTGTATCTCTCCCTATCTCTGGCCACTTCCCAGGTCTCTGTCTCCCTCCGGGTTTCAGTCCCTCTCTCTAGGCCTTCCTCCACCCCAACCTGGATCTGTTCCTTCCTCCAGGTGTTTGTCTCTCTTTCTTGGTCTCAGCCTTTCATTCCCCGTATCTCCCATGCAGGATGTTGCCAGCTCCCTTCCAGGCCGGGAATCCACCTCTGCTGAGAAGTCTCCCGCCCCCACACCGCCAGAGGACACCCTCCTCTCCTTTACCAGCTCCCCCACCACCACTGTCCTGCTGCTTCCCAGGACTCAGTTTCCCCGGACCTCCCTCCTGTCTCAGTAAAAACTGGAGGCTCTTCTCACTGAACAGCCTGGTGTCCCTGATCCCCGGTTCCCTTCTGTGACGTCACGCTGTAGCTCGCACTAGGCTACTCGCCACATGGGGGGGGGGGGGCGGAGCAAAAACTCCTGGAAGCTATCGCGATGAGATCCTTGGTGAGCGAAGGCGAAGGCTTCTATAGGGCACCCTAGGGATTCAGTGCAGAGAGCGACGGAAGTCGGCTTTCCGCATTCTCGGGGCAGTAGTGGACTTCCGGGTCATGCCGCCCGGACTTTCCAAGCGAAGCACGAGTCCTCGCGAGGGCCGCCGGGAGTCGTAGTTCGCCACGCTGTGGATGCCGGGAGCTGTAGTCCGCCCCGCCTGCCCAGTCAGCGACGAACTTCCCTCCCTGCACTCCGAGCCCAGAGCCGCCGCCCAGGGGGATGCGGGAGCCCCTGGCTCCGGGGAGCAGAGAGGCAGGCGGGGTGAGGGGTGTTGCTTGGCAACGAGCGAGCGCCGCGGTTGGGGTGCGTTGGGGAAAGGGCTGTTACTTTGTGTCCGGGGAAGGGGCCCTGTTGCCAGGTGACAGGAAGAGAAAACCCTGTTGTTTAGTGACAGGGGAGGGGAGTCGTCTGTTGCTAGGCAACCAGAAGAGACCCTGTGATCTAGAGACAGGAGGAGGAAGATTTCTCTGTTGCTAAGTAACCAGAAGAGAGACCTGTTACCTAGTGGGGTGGGGGTTTCTCTGTTGCTAGGTAGCCAGAGAGGGAGCCTGTTACCTACGGACAGGGGGAGGGGGAGTTCCTCTCCTGCGAGGTGACGACCATAGGACCCTTTCACTTAGGGATGTGGTGGGGGTGGTCCTATGTTGCTAGGTGGGCAGAAAAAGGAGTCTTTTTCCTAGGAATGGGGGATGGAGTTTCCTGTTGCCAGGAGAGCGACTGGGGAGCAGAGTCAGGGGCTATGCGGCCCCTCAGGCTGCACCCAGCCCCCGCCTCAACGGCAGTGCCCCAGAGCCTGCTGGCAGTTTGGGCCTCCAATCCCAGTCCCCTGAGCGCCTTCTCCCGCACCCCCCAAGCAGGAGCGGAGGGCGGCATGTCCCAGGGCCCGGGAGCACAGCCGGGCCCATCCTCTGTGTACCACGAGCGGCAGCGCCTGGAGCTGTGCGCCATCCACGCCCTCAACAACGTCCTGCAGCAGCGGCTGTTTAGCCAGGAGGCGGCCGATGAGATCTGCAAGAGGTGACCGTCACCCACCCGAGGACCTGCAGGAGCAGGGCTTGCAGGCCCAACCACCCACCTGGATCTTAGCGAGGCAGGGGGACAGAGCCCAGGGGCTTTCTGCTGCCACATCACCTGTCTGGGCTGGACCCTGGGACTCGGCAACTGCATGTCACCTCCCGCCATCCCCAGGGCCTGACCCCGACTCAGGCCCCACCTTCTCTCCTCTGGGCCTTCATCCCTACCTCACCCGCTCTTCTCTGGGTCCTGGTGCCCACTGCCCCTCTGGCCTCACAGCTTCCGGTTCCTCACCTCCAATCCATTCAGCGTGCACCCCAGCACTGCCCCTGCCCCTCCCCTGACCACAGCCCTCCCGGGGCACCCCAGCACGCCTGGGAGAAGCCACATGGCTTGAAGCCTGATGTCCAAGGCCCTGGGTGCTCTGCTCCCCACCTGCCTCTGCAGTTTCATATCTTGCTGCTCCCCCAAACCACATTCCTCTCCAGGGGGGAAGGAGCCCCAGGATGATGCCTCCGGTCCTTTGCACGGCCTCTTCTTTCTGCCTGGCATGCTTTCTCCTCTTGGCAGCCTACACTGTTCCTGCTCACTATCTGAGATATCCAGTGCTTCTTTATTATCTCTCTGCCTTATCCCCCTCACACACAAATGTACCCCTAGACCCAGCTCAGGCCCCATTGTTCTCTGGGCCCTCCCCTTGACCTGCGGTCTCTCTGTTCCAGGCAGGTCCCCATTCGAGCACCCACAGGTGACCCTGCGAACGCTTGCTCACAGCCCTCCCATGGCCCCTCAGCATCCTCAGGCTGATGGTTGGAGGGCTGGCGCATCTCCCCTGTCATTCAGGAAAGGGGGCAATTGACTCTTTCACGCCAGGCCCACATTGGAGACCCAGAGTCCCGTGGGAGCCCTGCTCTGAGGAGACCCAGGAAAACAGATACACAGAAAAATAATACAAGCTTTCCCCTCTCCAACCCCTCCCCTACCCTGCCCACCAAGTGCCCAGGGGGAGAACAAAGATGCTGTTGTCACCAGAGAGACAAGTGGTGGCTGGGTGGCCCTCCTGGGCTAGGGGACAGCTGGGGGCAAGGCTGGGGACAGGAGCATGAGAGATGTGGTTGGAGGCAGGTGGCTGGGAAGGGGTCGAGGGGACTGAGCCTAGGAGGCCACAGGGATCTGACCATGTGGGATCCTGAAGGCTGAGGGGCTGGGACTCTCTCCTGGGGTGACAGGCACCCAGGAGGGTTGGGAGCAGGGTAGGGGCAAGGGGAGCACCAGATGCAGAAAGAGCCCCCAGGCCCTGCTGGACAGGACCTGCAGAGGGGAGACTGGAGGCTGGGTGAGGGTCCAGGTGGAGGAGGAGGCGGCCTGGGAGGGGAGATGTGGATGGAGGGCAGGGCCGAGAGAGTGGGGGAGGGGTGGGCAGGAGGGATGAGGCCTGGGGGTTGAAGACAGGGGAGAGTTCAAAGGCTAAGCAACCCACAGAACCTGGGACGCTCATGCTTGGGGGAGGGGGAAGCCTTTCTGGGGGCCCCAACTCAGGTTCTGATCACCCCCCACCCAGGTTGGCCCCAGACTGCCGGCTGAACCCCCATCGCAGCCTCCTGGGCACGGGCAACTATGACGTCAACGTGATCATGGCCGCCCTGCAGGGCCTGGGCCTGGCCGCCGTGTGGTGGGACCGAAGGAGGTGGGACCCCGAGCACTGCTGGGCATGGCACCGTGGGCGAGGGGGGATGCTGGCCGGAGTGGGAAAGAGTGAGGGCGGGAGGAGGGGTGGAGGGTTTGCGTGGTGGGTGGCAGACGAAGGGTGTGGAGGGGCAGAAGGATGTGGGGGGGGTGCCTAGATTGTCGATGGGTGTCGATGGACGGGTGATGGGAACGTTGGTGGGAGAGAGTGACTGACTGGATGGCGCATGGGTGGCTGGATGGGCCGAGTAAGGTGGCCACTAGGTGGTGGGGTGCAGGAACGGGTGGGTGAGTGAGTGGCCGAGTGGATGAAAGGTGGGTAGTTCACTGAGGGGCAGTGGCCAGCAAACAGACGGTGGGGTGAACAGGGAAAGAGTGGAGGAAGCTGGAGGGGGGGAGTTTGTGGGTCGGCAGCTGGCTGGACGGTGGCTGATAGCATCAGTGGGCGAAGGGCGTTTGGGATGATGGGTAGTAGGATGGTGGACGGTGGTCAGGCTGAGTGCAGGAGCTTCGAGTGGAGTGGGGGGTGGATAATGGACGAGTCGTGGACAGAGCAGTGTGAAGGGTGGGTGGAGAGTGGGGTGGACAGTGGTTGGGGCGTGGGTGGGTGGGTGGTAGTGTGATGAACAGTAGACAGGAAGTGGATGATTGGCTGGGCAGTTTTGATGGGTGCGCGGGTAATGGATGGATGGGTGTAGAAGGAGTCCGTGTCGGGTGAGTGGGCTGAGGAGAGCCCGTGGGTGGCTCGGCAGCCTGCACTGCTCCGCCAGCCACACTGGCTCAGTGACGCTGCGCCCTGACCACGCGCTCCTGCCCCGCCACACAGGCCCCTGTCCCAGCTGGCTCTGCCCCAGGTGCTGGGGCTGATCCTGAACCTGCCCTCGCCTGTGTCCCTGGGGCTGCTGTCCCTGCCACTGCGCCGGCGGCACTGGGTGGCCCTGCGGCAGGTAGACGGCATCTACTACAACCTGGACTCCAAGCTGCGGGCGCCCGAGGCCCTGGGCAATGAGGATGGCGTCAGGTGAGGGGAGATGACGGGTCCCTCACCCCGAGAGGCGACACCCAGGCCGCCTGGGCCTCAGCCTTCCCGTTTCCCCGCCCAGGGCTTTCCTGGCAGCCGCCCTGGCTCAGGACCTGTGCCAGGTGCTGCTGGTGGTGACCAAGGAGGTGGAAGAAAAGGGCTGCTGGCTGCAGACGCACTGACCCCACCGAAGACGGAACCAACCACAGCTGCCCGCCCAGCACCTCGTTGCTGCGAGTCCACCCCAGCCCCTGTGCAGGGGTGGGCCGGACCTCACTTCACTGCCCTGCGGGCCATCAGGCCCTGCCCCGCCCCGCCCCGCCCCCTAGTGCGCTGCTGCCTCAGTAAAGCTGCTCTTTTGCTCCAGCCTGGCCTGGCCGGCGTCTGCCTTGGGGCCCCTTTCCCTCAGCTACCCCCGTTTCTCGTTTCTCGGAGAAGCGGGTCATCCAGGCAGGCCCTGCCAGGAGCCCCGGCGCTGGCTCTCTGCTGCCTCTCAGCTTTGCAGCTGCCTGTGGGTCACACTCCCCTGGGCCTCAGTCTCCCCGCTGCCCTCGTGAGGCCCCTGTTCCAGCGGGGGGTGGGGGGCAGAGTAGGAGCCAAGTGCCCTCTGGAAGGCTGGGGGCGGGGGTGATCAGTGCCGGGAGGAAGCAAGGGTTTATTTCTGGACTTGAGATTCTATTCCATCGATTGCAGTAATGGTCCTAAAAGACGGCCTGGTCCTAATCCCCGGAAACTGGGGATACATTTGGTCGCCTGAGAAGGTGGGGAAACAGGGCACTGAGGTTGCTGGCAGCTGACCTTCAGACAGGGAGAGTGGCTCCTGCACTCCGGGGAGAATCGTGGGGTCCCAGAGAAGCGGAGAGGGAGCAGGAGAGGGGTCGAGGAAGATGTGAAGAGAGAAGTGGGGTCCAAGGGGAGCGAGGGCCACAACAGGCAGGGACACAGCCTCCCCCAGGCCCCAGAAGGCCCCTGGCCTGGCAGGACTCAACTCCCTGGGCACTGCTGACTGTGTGTGTGCTGTGGGGCTGTGGCTTGCTGGCTGGTGGGGGTCACTCAGGGCCATGGGCCTCACAGAGAAGGTGTCACTGAGCACTGACCAGAAT